CCCGACCACACCTTCTCGACGTCTAACATTCCTAGTTGTAACTATGGCTATAGGTGTTTGTTGGTCTGGCAACCAGCCATAGTGTTTTAATGTATTGCCAAAAACCCATTCCAAATCAGAATAAGTAAATAAGACACGTGTAAGCATTCCATATTCAAGTTTATCACTAAGCTGATGGGCAAAGCCAGCAGGAGCTACAATAGGAACATTGTACATAGCAGTACTGAATCTCGCAGCGTTAGCCAGAGTAAAATCATTTAAAGGACCGAAAATTACATTCACTCCATTCGAATTTAGTTGAGTTAGTAAGGCAAGTGCGTCACATGCAAGGGCATCAATGTATAATATGAGTACTGTAGTAAAACTGACACCTCCAAAAGCGGGAAATGCTTGTATATCTTCAAGGGCCAGATCAATTGCAGGAAGGACCTGAGCAAAATTATCTGGTCCCAATGGTCCAAGTTGTACTCCCAAATGCACATTTGTGATATATCGAGCATTAGAACCTTTTGGTTGTAGACGAGACTGTTTAAGTCGTTTTTCATTGATCAAATTTGATTTTGCAGAAACATGTTTAAAAGCTGAATGAAGCTCCTGGAGCTTATATTTACGTTCCGGTAGGTTAGGACTATCCGGTGGCTTACATATTTGACCACTATGTACCGATCCAGAAATCTGAATTAAAAGGATCAAAATAAGTGTAGTGGTGACATGTGGAAACAAAAAATTCCAAGTTTTAAATGTTATGATATTAGAGGTTGATGGAATTTGACTAAAGAGCCACATGAATCCAGTAGCATGAGTGCTATAATTGAGAACATAAATTCCTTATTTGAATGGGTATGAAGGACAACTGATCCCCTTTTAATGACATCGCAAATACGTACATCCGTAACTAACTAGAAATTTATTCCGTGTGCCCCAGTTTTCTCAGCTAGATGAATGGCCCTAATGTATGAAGAATATGATTGGTTAATCTCAAGGCGAAGGTCACATAAATATTTTTGCTAGGCTGATATCTAGGGCAGTAGTAGTTATTAGCCAATAGCAAATCAGAAGTTGTCAACTCTTTATTCATACTGGAAAACAAAATTCAAACCAAGGTCAGATTAATCCAAACCACAAAATTAAGAGATGACATGTAAAGCTCAGTTACTTACACACAGACGGCCTTTGACTTAATTTTATCTTCAATAAAACACTATTTAGCCACGGGTCTAGTGCTACTGGGTGCAGAATGGAACAAATATAGAAATATTTATTTCGGTTGTGCTTTAATTCCCTTCTACTCCTTAAATTTAGAAAGCTTGGGGTTAGCTCTAGCAACTAAAAATCTTTAACTGATTATTACATAGTAAGAGAAGTCGGAATGAATTTCTATCAGTTTTCTCAATCGTACACAGAAATATGCTGTCGGACTAATGTTATATACCTGGAATCTTAGAGGAGTGAAACCTATAATTACTCTACATATAATGTTAGTCATTTTTACTACAACTAAATGATTTACTATCAAACATTCAATTAGGTGTGTGAAACTCCGAACACCGTTGAAATAAAATCAATCAGGGCAGAACTTTTGGCATATATGCGAATTTATATTTTGGAACACTGTTCATATAGTCCATAAGTCGTATATTTTGGGAAATAATTATAATTATCAATTCTATCTAGCTCCTAAAAACTGTTACAATCTGGAACACTAAATAACGGCGTCATAATTGAGTTGAGATAAGACACATCATGAAGTTTGATTGATATTCTGTTATCTGAGATCTTGCCCTTTTTCATTTTGTGTTTAGTGAAACGAAAAAGTACTGTACTTTTAGTAAATTCAATATTTTCATTCTTATCCAAGAAAGACAGTGTCAAAAGGAAATCTAGGCATGTCAGGTTATCTAGTGTATAGTAGCTAACTATTCATTGTAGAAAGTCAAACTTTTAATATACATAGAAGTGACTGGACTTAAAAGTCTATTCTTTGCTTTTATTAACGCCATACAACAGGTAGTAGGAAATGATACGTGATACAGATTTCAAGAATGTGCAAAACCAACAATTTCCCTTGATTTTATCGTTATCCAGTCACTAACGTTAACTTTTGAGAATGTCTGAGTCGAATACAATCGTTTCTTGTTAACTGATGGCAGGTGAGCAGTTTCATGAAGTCATATCATACTGGCAACTTTACCATATTTCACTGGATAACCGTGTTTCATACAAAGTCTATTGTGTTACTATTATCTCATCTTACTGACTCCGATTACCCTATTACTAACAAGATCTTGTTTAAATATATCTATTTGTAAATGTAAAGATTAATTGAGTGACAGAAATATAAATACTATCAAATTTTTGATTGAGATCATAAACCGATTGATTTTAGACCACCATTGAAAATCCAGAAGCATTGGACGGCCTTTCGTCCTAGTATGGGACCTCTCAGCAGTGCGCACCCGCGGTCCTGCACGCGGGATCCGAACCAGGATTTTTGGTCTACGCGCGCGAACGCTTAACCTCTATATCACTGAACCGGCATCCAATGGTGTCAATGTCTAATCTCAATCAATCCACGATATTGAGCGACTATCTTCAATTAAGAAACTAATTCTTAATACATATAGGATAAAAAATCACGGGGTATTTTCATCTAAAAAGTATCATTACATTTACTATTATTATGTATTAAAAGATAAGAAATATGTTCTTGAAAACAAGTTCATATCCGTTTCTTCATGAATAAATGATATAAGTTATTTATCTATTTATTTATTACTATTATTATTATTGTTATTTTCATAACATTTTTTTATAATTATATATTATTATGCTTTATTAACAGTAGATTTATATTTGTAACATTGTTGGTTATGATATTAAAAAAAAATACCAATCCTATAGAGATCACAAAAATCTATTTAGATGGCCATACTGAGATGAAATAGTTCTCTAATATTTCATGGGAATCGACAATTGTCTAAGGTCACCCTATAATGTAAACTATTAAGTTTAATCTCTACAACCTCACCTATATCAATAATATTAGTTCTGTTGTAGCAATATACTCTTTTTGTAACATTTAGTTCATTCACTCAAGCCTATGATATATTTGAAAGAAAACTGTATTTTGAATTTAGAGTAATATGTTCAAAAAGAGTTTGTCAAATACTATTTTTATAGTGATCCTGATTCTATCGCTTTTTGATTACTCTCTTGTGATATTTAACACACACATGTAATTATTATTATTATTATTATTATTATTATTATTAGTAGTAGTAGTAGTAGTAGTAGTAGTAGTAGTAGTAGTAGTAGTAGTATCAGCGTATTGTTTCCCCTTCACATTTTTGATTGCTAATCATATGATATCATTCTCATCTCAACTCCTGAATTAGTCATCCTTATATTACTCTGATGACCCTAATGAGTGAACATATAGTACGTTTTAACAATCCCTTCTCTCCATAAGTGTTTACTTGAAACGTGAAGCTTAATACTTCCCATAAATTGCATTTAGATAGTTGAGATCTTCCTAAAGATGATGTAACTGATAAATAAAATATTTTTAATACACATCGCTTTAAATGAAACAAGTCGAATGTCATACAGAAAATAAAATTCTAAAACTACAAATTAAATTTTTGTTGAGATCATAAACCGATCAGTGTTAGACCACTATTGAAAAGCTAAAAGCACTAGATGGTTGTTTCATTTTAGTACGTAACTCATCAGCAGTGCACGCCCACCATTCCACACGCGGGACTCGAAACCATGGCCTTTGGTCTCGAGTGTGAAAACTTGACCTCTAAACACTGAGATGGCATCCAACGGTGTTAATATCTAACTTCAACCAGTCCACAATGTCGCGCGGCCATTTTCCATTGTCTTCGATGGGTAACTGCCTCATACCCGACACGGTTGAATTCTATTGGTCACAACTTCTTACTAGAACCCTGATAATTACCTCTCGAAGCGATAAATTGAGTGACCACTTCAGATTCACATGAGTAAACTTCAGTTGGCTATCAAACGTCATAACATACCAATCTCTATATGCAGACAATTATGGATGAATTGAAATACTAAAATTCTGGATGTGGATATTACACAGAAAATTAGGACATTTTATATGCTTAGCACTCAAATCATTCAATAATCAATAGATAAGTTGAATTGTTATTAGTAATGGAATTCAGGGTGTGCATTTCATAATATTGGGAACTTTTTATTTGGACTTACCTCAATCTTAATGTTAATATTCACAATGAGACTTAAACCCACTCAGAATGTACACATTCCATCGGAGGCTGATCAACTGTAATTGTGAGCAACAACAACAACAGCGGAAAATTGCAAATCTTAATTAATGATCAATCGATAAATATGGTCGTTTAGCCAGTACAAAAAAAAAAACGGTAACAAACTCGTTCATGCTAATAATACGTTTCCTGAAATAATTTCTCTGCTTACTTATTTTATTTTAATCAAAAGAAAAACATTATTCATAAGAATTTGCTATAAATTATGAAGATTTAATCAGATAACATAACAATAAATAATTTCATGTCAATCTCTTATACTAATTACTAACCAAAACTTCAAGAGGAGTAACAATAAATAGAAAAATCGTTAAACGAATATATCGAAGTAAAGAAATAATCGAATTTAGCCATCACCAATTTGCAATTTATTATACACAATGCTGATATTGAATACAATGAATTTACGAATAATCGATAGAATCTAATCAGCACCTATTCTAAGAATAAACAAACAGTCCTTGTGAACTAGAAAAAAGTAATATGTATTGAGTTACACTCTTGACGTAAACAAGCCACTTAAAAATAATCCATTGAAAATTTACTAATAATTTCTTTCTTAAATATCAATTTGATGTAAAGTACTTTAGATTATATAAAGTGTTAATGGTAAAAAAAAACCAAAAAGAGAAGATAATTAATGACAAATTTTCCTACATCTTGTGTGAAAAAAGCACAATTTCATTTGAGTGAATCTGTTAACACATTTTTCTCGGTTTCTTCAATGATTTCCTTCTGGGGAAGGTTATTTATTTTGATTGTACATTCCGAGTTACAATTATTATTATTTTTAGTAGTAGTAATAGTAATAGTAGTAGTAGTAGTAGTAGTAGTAGTAGTAGTAGTAGTAGTAGTAGTAGTAGTAGTAGTAGTAGTAGTAGTAGTAGTAGTAGTAATCTTCAACCACATTGCTTGACCTTATGATCTCAAGTTTTGTGGATGTAAAATGAAACTTAAAAGCCGTTTTTATTTTAGATCAAATTTATTTAGTTGACTGACTGGTTTGTGTTCGATTAATTCAAGGATGAATTGTTTTTCTCTGTGAGTAATCTTTAGATTAAAGTTATAGGTAGATGTCAGACTATTCATTCTAATATTGACGAATCAAGAATCAATTTTGTCGGGCTATTATGCTTCTAAAGATATTTTAAATAGCACATTTTGATTATGTGCATTTGTAAATATCTAAATTTAATATAAGGTTGAGCTAGACCTTAACGTTTTTCATGCTTAAACTAGAACTAGGTACCGACTGATTAGTACCCTAGAGTCTTATGCGCTAAGCTACAGAGTCATAAAACTCATGAAACGTGAGTCTTGGAATTCACTCCTAGCCACGATCCAAAATACACTCACCATACAAACGAAAATGACATCTAAACATCGGTTCAGAAAACCTAAATACTAACAGGGATTGATCAAATAAACCGTTTATATCGATGATGGTAAAATATAACCGTTTAAAACCAGTAATAAACTTCGATATACATTCAGAGCAATTCTTGAGGTTTAGAGAAAATCATATTTTTTATGTCAGTGATGAGGTTATTTTTGATGGACATCTATTAATATACAGTAGATTGGCATTGTTGATTGACGTAACATACGAATTTATTATTCTCATTTATCAGGACATTCTAAACATATTAGACTTGGTAGTCATAAAATTGGGGCTTTGAAAATTAATTATGACAAAATTTCCCGACTGACCCTAACTTACGTTCGTAAAAATGAGAAATACTAACTTTAAGCCTACATAACATCAATTTACTCATGAAAATGATATGAATTAGAATAGATTAGAATAGATCACATTGCCATTAGTCATCGTTGAAGGAGATTGATAGAAGACTGTTGCTCGTTCTGGAGTGAATTTTTAGACTTTTATCATACGGTAGTCGAGCACGTATTTGTCGTCAAGGTCGTCGGCTTTCCCTATTTTTACGCAACTTTGTCATAGACATGCTTCTAGAGATAACACTCATCGTTTGACTTTTCAGGGGTCCGGCTGCTAGTAGAGGATTCCCTTATTCGCTTGAAATACGCTGATGATATAGTTTTGTTTGGTGAAGACGCTAAGTGCAGTCTTTCGACCACACTAAACAACAATGCAAGCATGTTTAAGATGCGGTTCTCTCTCTCAAACTGCAAAATTTTACTTCTGGATTGGATTGCGTCATCTGGCTTAATAATATGGGTTAAGTAGTTGAACATATTGACCACCTCACTCTGATATCTGGCAAAATCTCGGCACAGACTTAGAATGTTCAATTGACTTTTTTCAGCTTGCGTCACTTGTGGCATAGGCGAGATATCTGTCGACAAAAGGGTGAGTTTACTGAACAGTAGCTCGGTCCATCCCACCTTATGGATGTGAAATATAGGCATTAAGAATAGAAGATATTCATTGGTTATTGGTATTAAAATACCACGGAGTAAGCGATGTCTGGGTTAAGAGTAGAGTACTAGGTAAAGATGGTAAATCGGTTGATGTGGTAGTTAATCCGTATCAACTGTGGTAGTTTAGACATGTATTACGTATGCCCAACCATCACTTACATCGACTGGCTATATTTTCTGCCACAGGAGTAAGCTGGAAAAAAGTTAGGGACGGTCAAATCAAGACATGCTATCAGTTCATGAAGTCGATGACAACTGGACTGAGGCTTGTTAGTGGGTACAGACTACCTGGTTGGGGTCGGCATTAATACCGTAACCAATCGTCAGAGACTTTGAATGATATGGCCCAAAATTGTCTGCAATAGAGCACGTACATTCATTCTTTGTCTTCTTTCAAATTCTGGGAACTTAAATTCCTCGTTCATTTTTTATTATTTCACTAATTTGTATTCTCTTCTTGAGTCATATCTTTGATACCTAATCTTCCCTGCTACCACTGACACCGTTACTACCTCTACTAATCTGGGATTTGGCCTGACAATTTCGTCCCTCTGTATGGCAGCTTGAACCGAAGCACATTGTATCAAGTTCACAGTCATAAAGTATCACTCCCATACTCGAGGTTGAAAGCTGATTATACATATAACTGATTTACACTTCCACCATCGTTACATTCTTTATTCGAAGTTGCTTTCAGTATGTCATCGGTGGGGAAATGTGAGGAGAAGTGCGAGAGTCCACAATCCCGTCTAATTTCACTGTTGGTTTAATGTAGAGGATTAAAGTCAATATATCCCCTTAATCTACCTGTTTTCATGTAAAGCTTTAAAATTTTAAACAATTTATCCTTTCTATCAGACAATTTCAGCGTATAATCATGTGTAATAAATCAAAGATAGACATAAATTCACTCAGTATTACAAAAGTATCTGTACACAAACCATTTAAGACTGATATAAACTTCATTCATTACTGTTTCTTCATCTCATAACTAGTAACTTTCTACTTAACACTATTAACACTTCTTAAAATCAACTCATCTTTTTACAACTTATTATTAGAAGCAAAGGCAATTTAAAGAAATTATTTAGAAGACACAAATGAAATAAGTTCTGTAATTATGAATTTATGAGCGGCGGCAGTGGTGGTCGTGATCATGAGGATCATGGTAACAAGAGAGAAATAATAGTCACAATCAGAAAATATTGTCTACCTTGAAGAATAAAACACCCCAGTTAATTTTTATGTATTAAACTTGAAAAAATATTCTTTCTCTACTGTTTGCCGTTGTTTTCTTAAATGAACAGCCAGTAGGTAAACCTTTGATGTTTTGATCAGTGTAAAAATAATCATTATTATTGTTATTATCATTTTAGAAGAACGAAGAAAACGTTAAAGCACTTGTCACTTCCTGTTTCCCTCGTTTATTGTTAGTTGGTCTCTTTTTCCTACCTCACTCACTACCCAGTCTTTTTAAATCTACATCTTATTTTCTACTTCAAAATATGTTAAATTTTTCTCATTCTGTTTTGATGAAATGAATAAAATAAATTTAGATTATGTTCCTGTAGGTGTTTTAGTTTCTTATGCACTTTACAATATAATAATACAAAAATAAAATAATTATCGATCTTATCAGTATGGGGATCTATGGAGATTGTGGTAGTTTCAGTTGAATTCACGAGTCGATCATTTACACACTAACGACTAGCGTCAAGATGGATTTCCTGGAGTTCTAGTGAGAAGCCGTGACCAGTAGAACCCAATCCGTGTCGAGTACGAGGCAGCTGTCCACCTCAAACAACTGAAGAAGGTTTGAGCGAAATCATGAATCGATTGAAGTTAGATATTAACACCGTCGGTTACTGGCTGAGTGGTCTAGAGGTTAGACGTTCGCGTGCGCAAACCAAAGATCCTGGGTTCGAGTCCCTCGTGAGGGATTGTGCATCCGCACTGTTGAAGGGTCCCATACTAGAACTAAACAGACTTTGAGTGCTTCCATGTTGTAAATGGTGTTCTAGCTTAGATCGGCTAGTGAATTCAACTGAAAACGATTGGATTTGTTTTGAAAATATTATATGAAGTGTAGGAGAGTTATCAAAAAATCTGTCACATTTATTCATCATCTATGTAAGAAGATTTTAAACAAAAATAAACTTTAATTAACTTTCTGGCAAGTTATTATAAATATGAGCTTATCGAGTCCAGTCATGTTGAGAACGTAATAAATATTATTATTCGCATCGTTTATTTGCTGAGTAATATCACAAAGTGAATAAATGTAAACTATAGAATTAAAACTTAATGGTTTAAAAATATCACGCCTTTCGTTACACTTGGAAGTCATGGATTTCATGCTGTGGAAGTCGATTGCTGAAAATATCCAACTAGGCCAAACCAATTATATAAAATGATTAAGTTTTCAATAAATATCTATATTAGTGTTTGATGAATATAAAATACTGATGATTTGGTTAAATACGAGAAAAATCATTTTACTCTTCAATACTTCATTTGAATTGTCAAGTTCTAAATTGTTAAATAAAGGACAGTTATGTATATAAGGATTTTTCTTGATTCATTAGTAATATTAGGATTAAAAAAACAGTTTGAAATATATGTACCTTTGATAGCGTTTGCTTGAAGCCAACGAAAATGAATGTTTTACATTGTCTGAAAGTTTTTATCCGGATAAACTTACATTTTAGTGAGAGTATTAGTGTTTATACTAATAACAATTACAGTTTCAAACATCATGAGATTTTTCAACAGACTTTTATCTTATAATATCTAGTTGAATCGGTGTAGCAATCCTATTTGTTAACACTTACTGTTGTTCAGGACAATTTGTTCATTATTTTTAGTATCAATCAATGTGGCTAGATCATTTCCCAGCCTACTCATCCTAATATATGTATATAGTGTAAAATTATTAAAATCTACAGAAAAAAACTTTAAAACACAAACGTAAGAATGATCCAACTTATTTGTGTGAATCTGAGTCTAAAATTCCTCGCATTATGGGAATAAGAGAAATTAAAGAAACAATATTGATACAATATTTCACATGATACCGACAACATAGATTATTAGTGATTATTTTCAGATGTTACTACTATCTGTAAAAGCGATAATAGTCACTAAATTGTTTAAGCCTTTGTCAAATGATACTTAAATGTTCTTTTACTTACTTACACCTGTTACTCCTCGTGAAGGAGCATAAACCGCTCACCAGCATTCTCCATTCAACACATATGTACTTCCTTAAATAAACCATTCGAACAGAATATCTTGAATTTAGTTTAATTCGTTCAGTTCTTATCGGCTGTTTACAATCTGAAATATTTCAAAATCAAAATTATAAAGAAAGTCTAAGAAATTTATGATTATGAAGTCGTCTATAAGATCAGTATAATATGGTGAACATTTAAATAATATTAAAAAGAACAAATAAAAATATTAAAAATCAATATCGTATATAGAAAAAGGTTCTAGAATATCGATTACGA